TTATTCTGTGTTTAGTATTTTACATTTTTTTTTAAATAACTACATTAATAAATGTTAATTATTAATATTAGTATTTAGTAGTCTGAGGGTAATTGATAAATATCTGGTGTTTTGTCGACACTAATTATGTATAATATAAAATCGAATAATTTTCTTAGTTAGCTGTCGTTAGATTCTTGGAAACTTAAAAACTACTAGAATTATGTGAACTGCATGAATATCAAATTATTTTACGTCCTGTGTTAATAGTTTATCGACAGTTGATATTCATTGTTACCCTTTAGTTAGGAAAATTCAGGAAGACCATAATGATTAAATTGCATAGGCTGATTTCAAAGAAATTCATAAAATATTCAACATGTATCATTGGATTAATATTTTTTTGTGAATATGGCATTTATTACGTTGTGTTATCTCAAGTAAGGATTTAAATTGTTATTGTTTTACTCAATGTTTACTCTAAAGTTATAGCTTATGGTCACATCATTTTTAAAATGATTATACAACAATTTCTAGTGCAATTGGCCGTCAGATAGTAACATGTTATCGGAGCAACCTGTTAAAGTAATGTTTATAGCTGATACACATTTACTTGGTACTAGGAAAGGACATTGGCTTGATAAAATGATACGGTAATTTAAAATGTTCCTACAAATATTTTGAAATAAGTATAATTTGAAATTTTTTTTTACTATTTATTAATAGTAATAACATATTAAATAAGCAGATTCATGAAAAATTTTGTTAAAAAGTATAAAAAAATCAATATCTTAAATTAACCATCAAATTAATTTTGCAATTTCAAGTATTTATTGTAATAACTTACCTAAGTTAAAATTAATTAATAAGTTGTTTTTGTCAATTAATGTTATATGGTGTATACAATGATTTTAAGTGAAAAATAATTAAATAAATATTCCTTGATTTCATAATTTAGTCGATAAAAATGTATAATTTAACAAAATGTTTGATTATTATTTWAAAAAATTGTATTTGACAGATTTTTCATAAGTTGGGAGTAAAAAATATTATTTCCTTATATTAGTTATTATGTAAAATACACACACACTCACACGCATATATATGCAATTTAAACTTATTATGATTAAAGAAATTATGTATTTCTAAAATTATTATAGAGAGTGGGAAATGGGATGTGCTTTTCAAACTGCTATCAAATTACATAAACCAGAACTTGTTTTTGTTTTAGGTAAATTAATTTTGTTGATTTAAAAATATATATTTATTTGTTCTTAGGTATATTGAAAAAAAAAATTATTTGTATTTTTAATAGGTGATTTATTTGATGAAGGATTATGGAGTAGTGAAAAAGATTTCAACTCATACGTTGAAACATTTAAATATTTGTTTTCAGTACCATCAGATATACAATTATATGCTATTGTTGGTAATCATGATATCGGATTCCATTATAGGTATAAATAATTCATCTATTTGTTTATGCTTAATAAGAATAATCCAATTAATTTTATGGTATAGCATAACACCACATCTTGAAAAAAGATTTAATAAAGTGTTTAATACTGGTCCAGTAGAATTGATCAGTAGACGTAATGTTCATTTTGTAACAATTAATAGTATGGCTATGGAAATGGATGGATGTTTTTTATGCTATTCTGCTAAATTAAAACTAAATGAAATTTCAAGTATGTTAAAAGTTATTATTTTATCATCCTAAAACATATTGAATAAATATGCATAAATTCTGAATTTTAGATCGGTTAAAATGCAGCCAAGGTGAAAATAAATGTTCAAAAAATATGATKCTACAAGGAAATTATAGTAAACCTATACTGTTACAAGTAATTAATACTCTAAATTCGAAACCATTATGTTTATATAATACATCAACCAATATTGTGTAGGCAATTTTTTTTAAATTTTAATTATTAATTGTTTTTATATTGTTGTTTTTTATACAGTATAATATTTGATGACCATTTAAAGATGTCATGGTAATAATTTTAAAGCCATTATTATTATATTTCATCAATTTCTGTATCCAATTCTTAATCATAAATATGTTAAATGTGCTAAGTTTAAAGGTAGATTATAGTATGTTTACATTCTGAATAATTCTTTATTTTTTTAAATTTTAGATTCTGATTTTTTTTCTTTCTTTATTTTTGATTTTCAACTTCAGTAGCTTTTTCAGTTGGAAAGTGAATCTAGTTGGTACATTGAGGAAGTCAAATTTTGAAATTCCCAGTAGTTTTCAAAAGCACCAGAAAATTTGAATTACAACATCGGTTATTCACTCAATTTCTCTTGTACTGAAATTCTTATATTGTTGTTTTTACAAAACAAATCACTGTAGTAACTTTAAATTTTCACCATATTATGTTTATATTATCAATTCTTATACCTGATAACATTTTCAAAATATTTAAACTATTTTTAAGTTATTTATTAAAATTTAAAATTTTCTGTTTTTTAAAATCTTTTATTCTATAAATGTCAATAAAATTGTATTCATTGAATCAAAAAGTTTGAAAATTGAATACAAAATTCCCCACAAGTTGATATAATAGMAGTTGGAAAATATTAAAAATACATTGCCGAGTTTTTTTTATAACCGTTTAAAGTTCAAATGTTGACAAAATTTATTTAATTGAAAATTTACATATTCTTTGGCTGTTAAAAATGTAYTAAATGTTTAACTTTTATAGTTTAGGGTTGGAAATTTTAAAATAAGGTTCCACRTAAGTWGTTAATACTTTCTTATAGTTATCTTAAGTTCAAATTTAGATGAAATTACTTGAGATGTTACGAAATGTTCGTTTTTCCAAATTGTTCGAAAACCGAACTGGAAATTCCAAATAATCGAACCGAACCAAATATATAATAGTTCCGTTCGATAATCTAACCAGAGAAATAAAAATAAAAGTCGATGGAGTAACGGCTAAAATTATAAATTATTATTAAATAATAAAGATGTTATGTACTTGTAAGACGGATACAACACATGCKGGTGTGGCATTCTCTTTACTTTATAATAAATTTTATATACCTTCTGTGAATGATTGAGTGAGTCGTATACATAATGAATTTGATTCATTTGATCTATATTCTTTTTTTTTTTAATAATAACAATATAATTAATATAGTATAAAATATACTAGACTAACAAACCGTTTTCGCTCAGAATCATTTTTTGTATAAAATTATATTATATCATTGAA